GTTCATACCGGATCTGTATTTTCATTTTCCCTGACTTTTCCCTGATTTCCAGACGGAAAAAACCTGTTTTTCCCTGACATTTTTTAATTAAGAGAAAGGGCAAATTTTGCAAAATTGAGGCGAAAACGGAATATTATATCGAAGAAAAATAAAATAATGAACAAAACAGAAAAATAAAATAATGAAAAAAACTACCCGCACGCCTCCGTGCTCTACAGAATGAATACAAAATTCGACATAGTTTTTCTGAGAACCTTGTAGAGACTCAGCTATATGATAATCAGGCTAGCGCCGCCACAAATTATGATCGTAAGGTTTGATTTAGGACGAAGGGTATGCACAAGAACACATTACAACACTCTAAACGCCGTGGTCACTGTTTTACCCAAATTTAATTTCATTTAAAAAGAAAGCCAACTTTTGGCCGCTCGGAAGGTTAAATTTTGGCAAATAAAGAGACTAAAAATAGGAAAAAACGCGGCTGCCCGCCAACCACATACTTGAGGCCCCGCTCGGTGCTATATAGAAAGTGAGGAGGGGGAGGAGGGGACTTTGGCCTCTGGTAGAGACAGTCTTTAGGGCACTGTCTAAAAATTGGTAGCCATGTTCCTTAAGAAGAGACACACTATGGGAGACAGGGGGGGGGGGGGCGAGGGTAGGCAATGAAGCAGGGGGCAGCGACGGTGAGCGGAGAGACTCCCCGCCGGCGGCGCTACTCCTCGCGCGGGGTCAACGCAGGGCGCGCTAGAGACAGGGAAGGCCGCCGTTGCCGCCGCAGCCGCAGGGAAGGCCGAGCAGGTCGACAGACCGGCGGCGCGGGCGGGCGGACGACACAGTGCTGCAACAGCGCGCCGCGCGCCCCGCCTCTGGCCCCGCCGCGGCTAGTCCGGCCTCTCTCACAGATCGCGCGCTTCGTCTCGCCGCGCCCCGCGCCTCGCCGCCGCCGCTGATCGGCAGTCAGCCCGCGCCCGCCGCGCCCCGCGCTCGTCTAGGATACAGCGCTGCCGCCCCACGTGCCGCCAAACCAGCGTGACCACAGAGTGACCACGGCGTGACCACATCGTGGCCACAGCGGGATTTAACGCTACCCAGCGTGACGACAGTTGGGAAAGAGGTAAGGGTCGTGTCCGGCGTTCAGTTTCTGCAAAATCCACCACAAAATATTCGAACGGATTCCGTGCTAAGCAACAGAAGAGGAGGGACGGCTGTCACTGAGGGATTTGCGAATACTGTCGCGTGAGTGGGCGGGCGTGGCGTGTGCTTTGGCCCGTGGCTCCGCTGCGTGGGCGCGGGATCCGAAGAGGGGACAAGCGGGGGCAGGGGCAGGTCGCCGGCCGCGTGCGCGGA